AAAAGAATTGCAAGTTCAGTGAACTAAGAGACTCAGAGAGGAAAAAGAGAGAAGCGCGACAAACAGTGGACAAAAGGAAGCAACACTGCCGCTATTTTGTTGGTGCTCTTAACTGACTAACTGACTAAGTGCCTTGCTGACTGAATAGCTGATTTGCCCGGTTTTGCGTTCTACCAGTTTTAAACGGCACGCACACACACACACGTACATACGCACATATACACGTTGTATTCATCTATGTATGTATGTATATGTATAAATACATTCGTATTGTACATTCATATACATACATACGTACATATGATGTACTGATGTGAACGACACTCGATTTACTACATTAAAAATTTTCGCACGCTCTACCTACATTCATTCATTCATACATAAATACATACATACAAACAGTCATATGTATAAATTAAATTCTATTAATTTACCACTTCACTTTTTGGATTTTGTTGGTCTTTTTTTTTGTTTTGTTCGTGGCGCACACCAATCAAAATTTTTTAAAGAAAAAAGTCCGCAAAGCAATCCCGCAGAGCGCTTTGCGAAATGAATCGAGCAACTGTGAACTGAACACTGAACTGAGCACTGACGCCGACCACAGCAGAGCTAGAGCAGCGGCGGTGGCAGCGACGGCAGCAAGCAACCGTTTTGTTGTGTTGGCCTGGCCAACGTCGACGTCAACGTCAGCGTCTGTTGACGCGACGTCGCAAAATCGCGCAAATGCAACGGAGATGGACACGGACACACACGCACACAAAGAAGAGGTAGCAGAAGCAACAGCAACAGCAACGGCAAATACAAAAGCTACAGGCGCAGCGCGTACAGGTGGCAACAACAACAGGAGCAGAATAACACAACTGTAGCAGCTGCAGTCGTACATACTTACATACATACATATTCGTACATGCAATGTACATATGTACATACATATACATATACATACATATGTAAATTGCAAAAAAGGACAAATAGCGAAAGCAATGAACGCATAATGCGTGCTCAATGCAATACAAATTAAATGCAATCAACTGCGGACTGAGCGGCAATTTAAAAAAATGCAAAGAACAAATAAAACTGAATTGGAACAACAAAATCGCAACACTTCAGGCAATTTTTCCTACACAGTGCACACCACAACAACAACTATTGTGGGTAATTGCTCATATTGTGTGTAAGTGCCACCACACGCACGCAAAGGTAAAAAACAACGTACACATATACATACATGCACGTACGCGCATGTATGTATGTATGTATGCAAATGCAAAATTCAATAACTCGAACAAATTACCGTTAGAAATTCTAATCCAATATTCTTTATTCATTTGTGCTGATGTTGTTTTTGTTCCTATTGCTGCTGCTGTTCTTGTTGCTGTTCTGCGTGGGTAAGTAACAAGCTCATTGCCATGACATACACACGCACATAAATACACATAGATATCATACATACATACATATGTATGTACATACATGCATACAAATGAATATGTACATATGTACATATACAGCAACAGCCGCAACGGCGTCGAAGAAAAAGGCGTAAGCAAGCTCAACAGAGGTGGCTATAAAATTAGTCATAATGTCAAAACTTAGAATTTTCATTAAGAGATTAATATAACAACAAAGACATGCATGCATACACCCATACATACGTACATATAAGATAAGAAAAACAAATGCCTCAATTTGCATTTTCCTTTGGTAGAGCCATTTCCTGGAAGCATTGACAAATGAAGTTTTTTCCTATGACCCAACGATTAAGAAGGAAGGACCGGGCCCAGCTCCTAAAAACCTGTACCCACTCCCACGAAACACAAATCTGCCCTTTCTCCGACATAGGAGAATCTGAATACCAAGTTTGGTTATTCTAGCTGTCAAGGGCGTACGCAGCTTTTACCAAAAAGGGGGCAGGCCAAAAAATTAAAACTTTGATTAAATAATGCACGATGCATTTAAAAAATAATTGATGCATATGATCAATGGAAAAACTTCAACAAATCCAACTCAGTTCCATAAGGTCGCCCTGCCCCCCCCCCCCCCCCTGCGTACGACCTTGCTAGCTGTTATACCTTCCGAGACGGGAGGGGGGTCTACCCTATCCTGTGCGTTACATTCGTACCAAACTAATATGTACGTATTTCTTTTGTACATACTTATATTCTGTATTATCTACAGAATACTTTAATGTTTTGACTACCTGTGTCAAAGCTGCAAGAATTCGATCGCACAAGTGTAAGTTCAGACAAGTACTTCAGTATCAAGGTAATAATTAAGGCCTTCAGCTGTTAAGGGGAACTAGATATTTATACCCTGTGCCGTTCCTGTGAAAGGGTACCAGAAAGTCTAGGCGCCAAATGATATAACAAGCGAGACGAATCGATATGGACATGTCCGTTTGTCAGTCCCTAGAAATGCCGACAACTATGTATTAAGCCATAACAGCTAGGAACACCAATTTACCCAAATTGGTGCACTACATCCATCACACATACATATATATGGAAATAAAATACGCATGTAAACAAAGTACATGTGCATATACATATGTAGATACGTACATGCATGCATATACAGTGAAAATGGACATTAATGAACACCTCTTTTATCCGGACACTATCTTCGCCAGACACTTTTTCTAAAACATTCGAACGGTGTATAAAGTATTTAGGTATCCCCTTAAGCGGGCACTCCCCTTGGGCGGACAGAAATTGGCCGACCGTGAGTGTCCGGCCACGAGAGTTTTGACTGTTTGTACATATGTATGTAAGTTTCTAAGAACAGCTAATGCAACAAAGTTTATTCTAGTTGATGGACTGCGGAAAAGAGAGAAGTGGGTGAAGGGTATACGTATAAGATTCCAATTTCTTTGGCCACTAGTGTTCATACATATGTATGTACAAAGATAAGTATGTACATATGTTTATGAACGTATCGTGCTGTTTTTTAGTTCAGACGACGACGGCGTCTGTAAAGTGTCGTAATACATATTTATGTACATATGTATGTATGTATATATCCAAACATACATATGTACATAAGTTGTCTTTTTTGATTTGTTGTTGCTGCCAAAGTGTTCGCAGAGCAATTGGCCCCATCTGTGGTACTATAAGCGCTCATTGTTGTTGATATAGTTGCCCACCAATCACAACCACCCCTTGCCATTGCAACAGTCGCATGCGCTTTGAAATCAGCTGTTCTCATTAAATTGACATTGTACGCAGTTTTACCGTTTTACAATTTTTTAGTCATGTCTAACTGGCACGCAACAACTACTCGTATGTATGCAAATACATACATATGTATGTATGTATGTATGTTCATATGTATGAATGTATTTATGTGTGTATGTAATTATTTCAAGTCTTTATGATAATTGCTGTCTTTTCGAAATGTTCTGCTTCTTCTCGTAATGTTTAATAACGAGCTGCTTTAATAAGAATACCTTTTGCGTCTCATTTTTTATTAGGGTTTTTTTCATGCGCCACCGTTATTTGCTGTTGTTTTCGCCAAATGACTTTATGTATGAAAACAAACCACAAATACATGCAAAACAGAAGCAGCGTCGTCGACGTCGACGTTGCCTGAACAAGAAAAAAGTACGCTTAATCAGCACACGAAAGATTTTGTGTTGAATGAAAACACTCTCTTCGCACCCCTCGCAGAGGTCATAAGCGTCAATGACAGCGCTTTACTTGCTTTGTTTTCCAATTGCGCATGTGGCCACAAAAAAGAGCAAAAACAAATCCATAACCATGAATAAGGCGAATAAACAAACGGCGAATAGAATTACAATGCATGATTAACTGTAAATGCAAGGGAAATAGATAAAAACGCTAAATGACATACAAGCACACACACACACACAAGTTATAATCTTGAAAAAGAAACCAATATGGATGAATGTGACACGGTCGCGAAAAAAACAAAACAAAAACATTAACAGCTGATGAAACAAAAATAATTCTTATCAGACGAAGAAAAAAATAATAACATGAAATTTATTGCGTTGCGAAGCCGCCGCTGCCGACGCCACTGCTGTTGATATTATTGTTGTGTGAGTGAGAGCAAGTGTAAACAAAAATACACAAACAGCTGGTGACTTGTGGCGCACACACATGCGCACTACAGCTGTGCATGTGTACATATCCACACACATCCACAAATACATGTGTCGTAGGGCTATGACAAAAAAGCAGGAGACATACACATCTCCATCCTCACCATCCTGCTGACAATAAGACCAGCCAGAAGTAATAACAACGGCTGCTCAAACAAAAACTAGTTACAGCCGAACAGCTGTCTGATGGGGCACAACTGATTTGTGTGGTAGAGGGAGAAGAGAGCGTCAATAGGCGGGAGAGCGTGCCATAAGAGATCAGATGAATGAACTCTTCGTATAGCGCAACGACGTTTATCGCGCTTTGGAGTTGCTGAAAGACGCAATTTGTTTAACTGCACACACACATTGACCGTAGGGTCGCAAATACACACTCACATTCGCGTAAATGAACATTCTATGGTAGGAAAAAGGTAATTGTTTTGGTTTTGTTGCATACCTAACTAAATGCGTTGCAGCTTGCAGTGCTGCTACCATGTTTTGACACTCAGAATATAAGTATGCACATATGTTTATGTGTTTTGCATATATGTATGTACATATATTGATATGTATACATATGCTTGTATACATAAAAATATAAATGCATATGTACATATGTGCATGAACATGTACATATATGTGTGCTTGTATACATATAAGCTTAGGTATATGCTATTATTATATTTGTTTGTCAATACGCTGGATATACACATAAATCGAACATAGAACGACGCGACTTATACAATTACATATATACATATGTATGTATGTTGTATACACATTGTTAATTCATACATACATATTTAATATGTATATACATAGGTACAATACAATTACATCAACAGCTAAAAGAACAAATACCAAACATTTTGCACGCCAAAAACTTGTTACAACTTACGTTCTGTTGCAAAGTTTCTCGTGTGTTTTCTTTAAACATTTAATGGCCAAAACACGCATACACAAACAATATAACGACGTCGACGACAAGAACGAGAGACCCGCGACAAAAAATTACATTTGGATATTGTTTTGATGGCACTTAGTTGTTTGTGTTTCGCACTCCGCTTGTGTAATGCAGCAATTTGCGTACTATATTGAAGCAGACACAAATTTTCTATTTGTTTCTTAATGCATTTGTTTGCTGCTCATTTTTTGCGTGCGTTTTTCCTTCTTTTACAATTACACGCTCGTTAATGTTTGTGTGCCAACTGTAAACCACTGCTCAGTGTTTGTGCTTGTGCGTGAGTGTATGTGTGTGTGGGGGGCAAATCCAACCAAACAACAATACAGAGCTCGCGCAACTGCAAAAAGCGTTAAGTTAGCAGTCCTCCGCTTGGAGCTGCCACTTTGTAAATAAGGCAGTGTTGCCAATCAAGGTAGGCAAGCACGTTGGTGTTACCTACTAGTTACTGATATTTTCGTTGGTGTCGGTGCACTGCTGCTGGTTGCTTCTGCTCGTGCCCAATAATTTGTAAGCGTTTTTCATTGTTTTGAACATTTCTTTTTTTTTCACAAAGCGAAATAAGTTGCAGTGCAAATACAATTTCATTATAAGTGGAAGCATTTCGGCAACCAAGAATTGAGTACAAAAGAGCAGCGAAGTAAGTGCAATAAAATTCAATCAGAGGGGTAAAACCCAAAACCAATTCAACAACAGCAATAACTTTGAAGGCGACGGCAATGATCACAAGAAACGAATGCTCGCTCAAAACTCATACTTGGCAATTGGCTTGGCCTTCACGCACTCACACCTTTTTTTCTATTGGAATCTTGATTTCGAGTGATTATTTTTCTTTGTCTTAGACACGCCGTTCTGGGAGTTGGCCATGCTTTGGACTGTGCATCTGGACGGCGGACCGCAGCGTGTGAACCATGCAGCGGTTGGCGTCGGCGATCTCATATACAGCTTCGGTGGCTATTGCACCGGCGACGATTATCGATTCAATGAGGCGATCGATGTGCATGTGCTGAACGCGCACACTATGCGCTGGAGCCTAATACCGCCCCAATGCGACAGTGAGGGTGTGCCACTAATATATCCACAGGTGCCATTCCAACGCTATGGACACACAGTGGCCGCGTATGCGGAGAAAATTTACATTTGGGGCGGTCGGAACGACGAGAGTCTGTGTAATGTGCTTTACTGCTTTGATCCGAAGACGGCGCGTTGGACTCGGCCTCAAGTAAGTGGTTGCCTGCCGGGAGCACGTGATGGCCATTCGGCATGTGTGATCGGGAATTGTATGTATATATTTGGCGGCTTTGTCGATGAGATCAATGAGTTTTCAAGCGATGTGCACTCCCTGAATTTGGGCACCATGGAATGGCGCTATGTGCAAACGTTTGGCGTGCCGCCCACCTATCGGGACTTCCACGCCGCTGTCGCCTACGAGGAGGAACGCATGTATATCTTTGGTGGACGCGGCGACAAGCACAGTCCCTACCATAGTCAGGAGGAGACCTATTGCCATGAAATTGTCTACTTGGATATGAAAACCAAGGTCTGGCACCGTCCGTTTACTTCTGGAAAGGTGCCCGTGGGTAGACGCAGCCACAGCATGTTTGTTTATAACAAGCTAATATTCGTCTTCGGCGGTTACAATGGGCTGTTGGATCAGCATTTCAACGACTTGTACACTTTCGATCCGCGCACCAAAATTTGGAATCTTATACGCCCCAATGGCAAGGCGCCAACGGCCAGACGGAGGCAGTGTGCTATTGTTATGGGCACGCGCATGTTTCTCTTTGGCGGCACGAGCCCAGCGCCTCGCTACAACAACAGCAACAACGCACAACAACTGGCTTTGAATCAATCGCAGACTCAAGCCCAGCAACGCGGTAATGGCCACGACGCCGCCTTGGTGGTGCTCATTGACTACAGCGACTTGCATGTGCTGGACTTTGAGCCCACCCTGAAAACATTGGCCAGCATGATTGTATTGAAGCATTCGCTAGATGTTTCCTGCTTGCCAAGAAGCTTTCGGGCCGACTTACAAATGCTAACACAACCGAACAGTATTACTAGGCCCATCAATCAGGCCGGCTAGCGTTTGTTCTTGTTGTTGTTACTGCTGTTGTTATGTAGGGGAGGGAGAGAAACAAAAGTTGAGGGATGATGCCTGGAGCCTGGGTCTCGTCCATCTCGTCGTCGACTGCCAGAATTCACGCGTTAAAAAATTACAACAGAGTATAAATATTAGAAATTAGAACACATTTACACACAAACAAACATAATGGAGCGATGCTAGTCTAGTTTTTACATCGTAATTTTGAGCGATAATTCTCCTTAATTTTGCCACAAGCTTGGGCACTCAATTAAACTAAAGCAAACTTATTATAAGATAATAATATTTTGGAATCTCAAATGTTCCCCTTTTGCCCAATTTTGTATAAATTCTCATGTACGAGTACTTCCACTTAGTGGAAACATTCATCTATTTCTGTGATTCGAGAGAATTTGCAAATACATGCATATGTAGCATAATATCGCTATAAGAAATAGATCGGCATAACTCCAATACACACACACACAAACACACACTATTCAGTCGATTGCATTTCTGGATCGAAGAAGTCTTCAATGTTCCGAGCAACTGGTTGGAGACGCGCGTTTAAAGCAGGCCAAGTACTGCAGCCACAACACACAGATCATACACTTTCACACCCACACACCCACACACGCAAATATATATGTATGTACATATATATATATGCATACCAAGCAACGAAACTAGTCCGAGCGTATACCAGACGCGCGCTCCAATCATTTGCCAGCAAGAAATAATATTTGAAAAGGCAAAAACTGTTGCCCTGTTCCACTTCTGCATTAATGCTACTTATAATACATTTTGCCAAGGGCCCCTATATATAGAATCGCACAAATAATGCGGTTTCACAGAACATTTTCATAAAACTCAAATCAATAAAATCTCAACAAAATGCAATCCTCTTCACACAAAAATACACAAGCACGCACGCTCTGTTTTAAACAAACCAGTAATTAATTCCAATTCTTTAAAGTTTTAGAAACTTGCTTGGTACTCCGGTTATTTGTAAGAGCAGCAAGAAAGACCGCTAAATATTAAATAGAATTATAATACTTGGATATACATACTTATAATATAGAACCTACCCAAATAAAAAATAAAAAATAAAATAAAATGAAAACCAACACGCATTTTATGATATTATAGCCCAAAAAGAAATCAAGTGTAACACACCTTTGTTGCTTATTACGATAACGCTACTAAATGTGGAATTTACGAGCTTTTGTAACACCTCAATTTATTTTGTGATCGAATTCGGGGCACGTGACTCGACTCGTTATTGTCTAAAATTGATTTTAGTTCAAGGACTGAATATTTCGACCACACTTTGTGCGCATAAAGTAACATCAAGATTATAATGTTTTAATCAAACAAAAGTCAAATAAAGCAACTGCGGAACGTATTTTGCTAACAGATGATGCAATATTTGCTATAAATAGTTTGTGTAGAAAGACCGACCATTCCTATATCAGGAATGGCATACTGCCGTTTGAAGCGCTTTGAGCTCAAATATACATACATTTGGATGCTGTTTGAACAACCCCGTTTAAATGCTAAAGATCTACGCACTTTAGCGCGAAATAATTAGCTAATTAACTAGGACAAAAATTTGGCACATTATAGTATATTGTCATTGCCAATAAATACGAATTTTGGGATTTCGAGTGGAAAAATATGTTTAATGATGAGATTAAGTTTAAAAGTTTCTCATGATATGGGCTGCCTTCGGTTTTGATGGAAAGACACCAATGTGCTTAATAACGCATAAAATGAATGCACAACATTATGTGTAGCTATTGAAGACTGTTTTAGTCCAATTTGGAGAAATTATTTCGGTGACGCGTAGATTTTCCAGCAGGATAATGCACTCATCCATACTGCACAGTTCAGCTTTTTTTGACATTCAAAAATTAGCGGACTTAAATCCGAAACAATGTCTTTGGGACATCTTGCCTAAACGGGTTTAAGCCAACGGAAGGCAATTTGGAACTCTAAAAGAGCTAAGAGAAGCTATTATTCGAGAAAAAATTTTACATTCATCTGTTCCAAAACTAGGAGAATTCAACGCCAGGTTGAATAACGAAGGTGTTGAACAACGACGGGTTTCAAATATATTCGCTTAAAATTCTTTCTTTTGTCCTCTATTAGTTATAACATAAGTCTGAACAATGAATTTGTCCCAGTTAACTATTTCGTTTGACAATATTTTGCTTAATTTTTTACTTATATTTTCTCAAGTTTTATTTCCATTATTTAACTTGAAGTCTATTGATAATATTATTAAGTTTAAGCAATAAATTGTTTTATGAAAATGTATTCAACGGTTGTTATACTATGATACGTATGTAGTGTCCTAGTAAAGTATTTCGCGCACATAATTGTATTTTTACACGGTTTTGTTTTAACACTGTTTGAAAATTAAAATTTTTATATATTTGTACACGACTTTATTCCATTTAGCACGATTCAAAATAGAACAATATAAATAAATAAAAACACAAGGGGTCGTTATGCACAATATATATGTGATCTAATAAAAAAACACATAATCCTTGTTTTTTCACAGATAGGTTTTAGAGATAATGAACCAATCGCCTATTTTTGCATATAATCAATGTCCTTTTTTACAAGTTTTTCTGAAAAATCTATTTTTTCTGAAATCTACTGTATAAAACAGAATTAGGGATATATATATGTACATATATAGCTTTTATAAAAACTTTTACCTAACAATTTGTTAAGGCTTTTTAAAATAAATTCTTTTTTCTTATTAACAAGCAAAGCAAAATAGTTCGGTCACAATCAAAGATACGAATAGACCGTAGGACTTCTTAATTTTGTTTCCATGGACGCTGTATGTGCATATGTAGGTGCATTAACAATAGGGAGGGTGTAAGGACAAGTAGTATGTGCACGTTTTTTAAATACTCCTGCTTTATTAAGAGATTGTTTGGTAAAACAAATATACTCCAGTTTCTTGATAAAGCTTTCCATACGTACTAGATTGAGATGTGTTTGGGCGCGTACATAGATATATACATACATATCAGTAATTACATATACATATGTATGTAAGGATATACAAATTAGCAGATGTGTGCGCTTATCATTGAATTTAAAACTGCTCGTGAACAGAATTAAGTTATAATATGGAGATTTGAGTAACGCATACTTATGTATATGTACATATGTTAATATATTATGGAAATGTGTGTGATTTCTAGCCCACGGCGCTTGTGTGACCACGTAATGTCAAGTATCCGTTGATGATGTCCGAGGGCATGTGTTGCATGGACGCGTACTCATCGGAATTGCTATAGCGCAGCTTGGAGTGCGGATCAACGTAGGGAGCGGGCAGTCCACTTATGTCCGAGTACTTCTTTGCGGGCAATAATGAGGGTGGTGCTTTGATAGTGAAGTCTTTAGTCGAATGAATTATTAGGACTGGTCTGTATATGCTGAACAATGATGCCAAAATTACTTACAGGTGGGCTGGTCTGCAGGCAATTTCAAGTTGCGCTCCATATTGTTGATTTGTCTTAGCGGGCGATAGGTGCAATTTTTGGGGAAAGCGAATGGCTTTTTAAAGGAACGTCGTGGCTTGGGCAGAGAATCCATGGCACAAATCAAACAATTTAAAACACATGAGCAAAATATCGCTAGAAGTGCAAACAATTCAAGTGGCAGCCCTGCAACAGCTGTTCAGGCGGTTGTAGCTTGGAAATTTGGAATTCGTGCAGAATTTTTAGCAAATTTGGTAGCACTTTTCAGCTGGCGCCATCTATAGAGTAAAGATATGGCAGAGCAGCAAGTTCGGTGGCGTGTACTTTAGAAAATAAATGAAGATAACTAGAAAATAAGTAACGTGGAACCTTCCAAGGGAGCTGCAGGCCGAATCAAAAACATACGAAGAAACATGGCGCGCTCCACGAACAACGCTAGCAATAACACGCCAAAAACGGCCAAAGCCGCTGCAGCTGCTGCCGCCGCGCAAGCCGCAGCACAAGCGACCGCAAAACAAAAGCGGACCAGCTTTAATTTATCCTCAAAACTGATGCTGGATAAATGGAAAACATTGATTGGTTGTGTGTGTTTGGCAATTGCCTCGTATTTTGGCTACCTTGGCTATTTGGAAACGCGGGTGAATACGCCGTTCGATAATCAGAAAATGGTGCTGCGCACCGGTCTCGATGATCCGGAACGGTATTGGGGCTCCTATCGACCGCTAACGTACTTTGGCATGAAGACACGCGATCCACATTCCTTAGTCATGGGGCTGATGTGGTACACGCCCAGCAATTTGGGCCACGGCGGCCATGGCATACGCCATTGGTGTGAGCAGGGTGATAAGTTAGATGGGTACGGCTGGACGCATCATGATGGACGTTCGTTTGGTGTGCAGGAGATACAAGATCTGCCCTTCGTACTAAAGACGTCGTTCGTCAAGTATCCGGGAGGCAAGCAGTTCGGTGGCGATTGGACGGCGCGCATCTCCGTAAAAAATACAACGCGTGCTTGGGATCGCAGCATCTCGTTAATCTGGTATGTGGCATTAGATGAGCGCACCAATGGCCACATCAAGTACGTTTCGGATGAGAAGAGCCCGGAGCCAGGTGTTTATGGTGAGACGCAAGGATTGGGCGAGTTCCAGGTCCGTTTCCATGCCGTCAAGGGCAAGATACTGCATAAATCCTACTTGAGCACCGTAGCGCCATCCCTCAGTAAGTTAAAGGAGACGGTTTTCGCGCACTTTCGTGCGTTCGCCGATAAGCGGGGTAATCGCTTTATTGGATTGCCCGGCGAGATTATTTCACAGAATGGTATCCCCACAAAGGGCCACGAACCGAACTTCATCGCCATACAAATAACAGCCGAGGTGGATTTTACACTGGATATAACATACCAATCGACATCGGGATTTGCCTTGGGTGATTCAATACCCAAACCGCCAACAGCACGCGAATATACCGAATCGTTACAGGCCAAGCTTCAGGAGTTTGATCAACGCTTTGAGAAAGCATTTCAATTGCGCGCCAAAGGCTATTCGCTCGAGGAAATACGATTTGCAAAGTCCGCTTTTAGCAATATGATTGGAGGGATTGGTTATTTTTATGGAGCAAGTCGTGTGCAATCTGTGCATACAAAAAATCCCGTGCCCTATTGGAAAGCACCGCTCTATACATCAGTGCCATCACGCTCCTTCTTTCCTCGCGGCTTCCTCTGGGACGAAGGTTTCCATGGACTCCTTATATCTTCTTGGGACCTAGACATTGAGCTGGACATTATTTGCCATTGGTTTGATTTACTCAATGTAGAGGGCTGGATACCACGCGAACAAATCCTAGGCGTTGAGGCACTAGCCAAGGTGCCTGAGGAGTTTGTCACTCAACGCAACACAAATGCCAATCCACCCACATTTTTCCTTACACTGCGGAAGCTACTAACCCAGCATAGGCAACAGCTTGCGGTAAAGGGACGCCTTGCCACTCTGGAGCGACTCTATCCACGACTGCAGGCCTGGTTCTCATGGTTCAATACCACCCAACGAGGTAAATCACATTCTACTTGTAAATAAGTGACTTGCAAGGGAGTAATATTAAAACTCCTACAGATGGTATGTGTATGTTGGTCCGATATGTGTTTGGCTCTCCATAATTGTGCATTGTTGTGCCGCCTAATTGTAGAAATCTTTACCCATTCCGCAGTTTTCTGTTCCGATATTTCAAGCTTGTTTTTCTTAAGGTGCAGGTTGAAATAACAAAGATCTTTAAATATCCGATTAGGAATGTTCAGGAATTAGGAATGGCTTATATTCTTTTATCCTGCAGTTATGTTAGCCCCACAAAAGACCGATGCACTATCTCTTTTTAGCCTTTTGGCATCGAACATCGTTCTCTTTTCATCTCATTCGCTCACACTCTGTTTCAGGTGATGTGCTGGGCACCTACCTATGGCGTGGACGTAATGCTACCACGTTACGCGAATTGAATCCGAAGAGCCTGTCCTCCGGCCTCGATGACTTTCCACGTGCTTCGCATCCGACAGATCGGGAACGACACGTGGATCTGCGTTGCTGGATTGCACTCGCCGCCAGCGTAATGGCAGAGCTATCGACCCTGCTGGGCAAAGACGACGTAAAGTACTATGAGACGGCCTCGTATCTGACAGACAACACGTTGCTCAATCGCATGCATTTGGATCCGTACACCGAACGCTATGCAGACTGGGGTCTTCATACGGATTCGGTCGTTTTGAAGGTACCTCCGGTGACCCAGAAGAGCGCACACAGCCGCATTCCGCCGCCGCAGCCAGAGAAGCAACGCTTTACGCTCAAGCAGCCGGATTACAAATTTGTCGGCACTACCTTTGGCTACGTAAATCTGTTCCCACTTCTTCTGGAACAATTGGAACACGATTCCCCCTACCTGACGAAGATGTTGCGCGATATGCGCGACCCTGAACTGCTCTGGACCAATTACGGACTTCGTTCGTTGTCCAAGCACTCGCCGCTGTATATGAAACGCAATACGGAACACGATCCTCCGTATTGGCGCGGCCCCATCTGGATAAATATTAATTACTTGGCGGTGAAGGCTTTGCGCCATTATGGAAAAATTGAGGGTCCCAATGCGGCGCAGGCGCGAGAACTGTACGGCGAACTGCGCGAGAACCTAGTGCGAAATATATTCAAGCAATATCAGCGCACAGGCTATATTTGGGAGCAGTACGATGATACGACAGGCGAGGGCAAGGGCTGTAATCCTTTCACCGGCTGGAGTGCCCTAGTTGTCCTGCTCATGGCTGAACAGTACTAAGGACTCGTCCTCAACTATCGTCTCTCATTGCCAACTGCATTCTTTAAGCTGCTATGAGTTCTTGTGATAAACCCACACAAACAAATTCTCACTTTGTTCCGGAGCTTGTGTTTATGACTGCATTTTAGCACCAGCAACAAGAACAACATAAACAACATAAGCTAACAAACAACAATTGTCAATGATCTGCATAGATATACATATATGTACCTTTACTGTAGATGTAGAGCTACATGCTAATAATATTTAAATAACTGTGTCTATGTTAATGTTTTTAGTAGCGATTCCTGTCAACAAACATAACGAAAGCAACCTAAGAGAATGGGCTCTAGCTCGTTCGCCAAACTGTACAAATTGAACAAAGAACGAAATAAATTCTAGCGTTAATAGACGAATTTTAAAATTAGAATTAAAGCACTGTCTTGATTGGATGGCTCGACCTACTCACGTGTCCTTCACCAATGGTTGTAGAACAGGAAATAGGCATGGATTGCATGGACTAGTTTCTCAATGCACTTTTAACCAAATCACATCTGACCGTATAATACAAGACAACTTGAGCCGAAATTCCAGCTTCCTAGCTCTTAATGTGTGGGCTGTGCGCTCTTTCAAATTTTCAACGGGAAATCCCAAAAATCCAGGAAAAATACTTAAGAACAGAGTACGCAGTTTAGTTTGTATTCTTTCATAGATTATAAAAACCTAGTTTGAAGTCGATCGATGGAAAATTGCACATATTTCGTACAAAATTTGGAGTCCGTTTCCCCCTTTTGGAGTTCGAATTTTCCAATACACTGTGAAAGGATACTTGAGTTCGAATTTCAGCTTTCTAGCTTCTAACATTTTGGCCATTTCGTGTTCCAATTTTTCGACGTGAAAGTCCCAAAAATTCAGGCTGCAATAAAAATGTTTAAAAACCGACGCAGTTTAGTTTGTATTTTTTCGTAGATTATAAAAACCATGTTCAAAGTCGATCGGTGGAGAAACTGAGATATATATCATACAAACTTTGGAACCCGTTTCTCCCTTGTGGAGCTCGAATTTTACGATACCACTTCTTGTCGCTACACACTTTGAAATTGAATTCCAATATCAGCTTTCTACCTCTTTCCCTTTGGAAAAGTGTTTTCAATTTATTTATGAAGTGTATTATTATAATTTGGAATCTGGTTATATCTGTACTTCAGTATAGATCAAATAGAAAATTTCTTAGAAATCTTTAAAAAACTGTGCGAAAGTTCAATAATGAAGAGAATGACATTGTCCTGAACCATTCTATTTAGATTGGAAGGAAATTTCTCACAAGTGTTTTCAATTTATTTATGGAGTGTAATATTATAATTCGGGACATGTTAATATCTCTACTATACTCACTCTTAAGAAACCGGATGTCAAGCCTTAGGATCTACATGATGAATAACAGAATCGAAATGAAAATCTTTTTTTAAGGTTAAAAGCTGATTACAGATCACACACTATTCACGGCTAGTACTCCATAAACTCATCATATTCAGGCTTTTTTATTCGTTTATGGCTGTAAATTGATATTTTTTAAATTCTTCGTATATCCCAAAAAAACAATAAGAACACAATTAACTTCTTTTGTTTTGTTCAACATTATTTTAATTTATAATCAATGTTAACCGATTTATTGCTAAACTTTTCCCCTCTCTTGTCATGACTTTTGTATGCTCTAGGGCTACAAAGTCATACAATGTTTCTACACATACATATATGTATGTGTATATGTTTATGCATAATTTTAATATATATCTAATCTACTTATAAGTATATACATACACAAGGTCTCGGTTCTTTATACCAAATACATTGTACATAATTGCGAGTCTGTTGCGGAGAAGCGAGCACATTTACAGCAATGGAGTACCGGAGATATATTGTCCAAGTAAAAAAATAACTACTACATTTCATTTTCATTACACACTAATTGTATATCATATGTATATGTATATATAAAAAAAATTGATTGAATGAGTTACTAGTTACTTCAATTGAATTTGTTCGGCATTCAACTTAGGGCTAACAGAACGAATATCTTAAGATGCATTTTAAGAAGGCGGCCAATGCGACGACGATGCTTGCTTATCAATCGGAGGTGAGAGATAGTTGGGTACATTTTTATAATATATTGCACTTAAGAAGACAAGACGATATACATACACATTCATATCATTTACATAAAATAGAGAATATAGTATACGGGCGAATTTGATTTAAGTAGGTCTTTCTTTTTGGAAGGTTCTGTATTAAAGGCAGGCATCGACTGAATCAGCAGTAGTTTGGTCCGTGAATTGACAAAATACACACACACATACATACTATATTGGATACATACATGTGTGTGTATGTACTCACATATGTATGTGTGTAGTATGTATAGTATGTCTGTGGTGGGCCAGGCGTACGGACAATTGTTTTGTTTTGAAAAGCACTTTAAATTTATTAACACAGCATTAGAGAGTTTGGCGGCTTTCGACATTAATCGTCCTTCGCATTGCTGTTTTCGCTGTGTCCATTACTGTTGTTGATGTCCTTGCCACTGCCACTGCTGCTACTCTGTCTGAATGCTGGTATCCGGTCTAAGAGTGCCAGTAGAATGCTGCCCGGCAAGCGCTGATGCTTATTGATGAGCTCCTCAATCGCCGTCGCCACCTTTAATAGAAAAGGGATAACAGTTTTATAGCAATAGAAATAAATTTATAGAATTCTGAAAAACACATTTCCTGCGAATTCACAAAAGGCATCTGGGACTAAAATTTGGTGCCCCTAGGTCTTATAGTCTCTGAGATATAGGCGATTATACGAATGAAAAATCGGGAAATCCCCCATAGGGGAAAGTGGGGGGGGGGGAATCAAAAAATAAAACCAACTCTTATAGCAGAAACACCTAAGGCATCTTTGTGCAAAATTTGGTGCCGCTATCTCGTATAGTCTCTGAGATCCAGGTGTTCATACAGACGGACAGGCAGGGCTAGATCGACTCGTCGTGCCATGCTGATCAAGAATATATACTTTATACTTTGTGGGGTCTGTCACGCCTATAAAAATGGTCGTGTTCACCATTGATTGTTTTTTCCCAAAGAAGGAAGAAATTCAATAAAAATTAGCCCATGTAGCTCATTGTTTTATTCCCTTTGTCTCTGGTGTGAAGTGATGGACCCATGTTTCATCCATGCTTCTAAACCGAGAGATTCATTATTGTGAATCTTCGCCAAAAAATGGATTGAAATAGTATCCTCATCATCTTAAAACTGTCAATCAATAGGCGATGTTAAGCACTTTACGAGTACTTTCAATCGGCGGTCATCCAGGACCATTTTGTGGATTTCGATTGGGATACAAGATATCCTTACACCTAACATCGAAGGACATACAAAAACTATGCATACATACATACTGGGTGCGCCATCTTTTATGTCGGTATGTAAACATTGAATATCTTTGAAAATAAACAACCGATTTTCAAGTATGAGATATCTTTATTTAATTTGGTTCTGTACAATTTCTTCAGACTAATTTTTCAACAGTGGTCTACTCAAGTCAATCGGTTCACTAATGACAAAGTTATTCAATATTTACATACCGACATAAAAGATGGCGCACCCTGTACATACATCATTTACGTATAGTTCAGGGAGAAATATAAAAATACATGCACTTATTAGGCATATTCAAGCATGACGAATCGAATGGTCCGTTCAGGATGTACCTAGTAGAGTCGCCGTTTCTTTCGTTGGATTCCAGGAGTATTTTTAATGCGAAAAAGAACTGAGTTTTCGGAAGCTCTTGAAAGCTGGATCGGCAACTAACGGTGAAGGCGTGTATTCTATCTATTTTTTAACGGGTTTTATAACTATTTCTAGCTGGTGTTCCATTTTTTAGTGGATTTTCTAGCCATTTTCTTGCGGATACTAACCAATTTCATTTTTAGCTGGGTTTCTAACCATTTAAAGTGGGGTTTCTAGCTTTTTTGTAGTGGACTCTCTTGCTATTTATAACGAGTTTTCTAGCGAGGTTTCTAGTCATTTTTAGGAGATTTTCCACCCGTTTTCTTCCTACTTATAGTTGTGTTTCTAAATTTCTTTCTTAAAATTGTTGGCAGCGACCTGCCCCTTTATGTTTCTTAGCTAACTGTCTGTCTTATCTGGGAAACTCGGATGCACGCAGCGCACAACTCTTTCCTTCTAACTATGACTCACCTTAATCTGAAGGTCTTGCGGCGTCAGCTTCTCATCGTACGGTATGGGTTTGCCCAGATATGTGCGAAACTTTACAGGAAATCCTCCATAAATCGGATATACGGGTATTCGCACTTTGTTGTATAGCCGCATAAAGAACGTCCGGAAAATGCCGACTTGTCGGAAGCCCTCACGCAAATTTTGGGTAAAGCAAGGTATTATGGGCACCTTTGCCTCCAAAGCGACCTTCGCAAATCCGACACGATTTCGCCAGAGCAGCTCGTAATAGTGATCGCCGAATTGTGCCTCATACACGCCGCCCGGTGAAATGGCCAACAAGTTGCCGTCACGCAATATGCTCACGCACGACTGCACAGTTCCGGGACTAACATGGAATGCCTCCGAGATGGTGCCCCAGCCAGGCAACTTGAACAGGAAACGATCGCCAATTGTATAGATTAGGCGTTCGCGTTGCAGCAACATGCGCGAGTTCAGATAATACATGTCTATGGGTATGGCACCATGATAATAGACAATCAATGCCGGACCTTCCTGGGGTATATTCTCGAGGCCGATCACCTCATAGCCGTGATAGATTCGCGCATGGGCATCCCAAATGGCGGCAACAATTTTCCGCCCAACATCCCAAAAATTTCCATCCGCCTGTACGGCACGCATTATGACACTTCTGAAAAGGAACAATTAATACAATAACAGTTCGATTATTATGAATAAGTGTGATATATAATTGTATTTATATTATGTTTAATTGTAATGTGAAACAATTTCAAAACCATTTGCAAGAGCTAGAATGCTATTAGCTTGGAAAACTTATTAATCTTAACTAAGCCATGCTTTCGCATTTTATTTAAAACTATGGACTTATGTTAGAGTATACAATTATTATGCTTTAATAATTGAGACAGTTGGGTTGTTAAATAAAACTGATCAGCTTATTAACAGGCAAATAATAAAGAGGTTATTCATATACCCTGTACCCAAAGGGCACTGTCTGTCCACTCGTCTGCCCGCAGGGATCTCGGAAAGTATAAGAGCTAGAATAATCAAACTTGGTATACAGATTATCCTAGGCCGATAAAATGACAAGTTTTTTTTCTGATGCATTTCTCCACTGCCCCGCTATTTTTTATAACTTCCGTAATTCCTCGAATATTCAATGAAAAAACTTGAACCTGAATACCAAGCTTGTACTTTCTGGGATACTTTCGTTTATAGTCTGTATACTATACTGGGCTATATCGATTCATCTTGTCATCCTGATCAAGAACAGGGCTTAAAAAGTTCCTGGAGCCGGCTATCAAAATTATGTAATCCCAAACGAATTTGGGATTCATTATGAATGAATAAAGAGACACTTGGATAGATATGTAGATCTGCAAATGTAAATAGGGCCGCAGACAAGTGTAAAATCTTCCGAAATCGCTCGACCACGGGTTGAAGACATACATTTTTCAGATTCTGAGCGGAGTGTTTTTTGTCAGATCCTTCCGCCTTCCGGATTGTTATAACGTAGCAACGAAGGAAGCGATTCATTTAATTAGTTAAGATCTGCTATTATAACGAGTTGTATTTTGAAATTGGTAGCTAAATCCCTAAGTGTATTTAATTTAAGAGCGTAGCTGTGCGACTACTACTCTACTGACTAAAGTATATATATATATATTCCTAAGCAGATCGAGATCGATGCATATACAATGTGCGTTCCAAAGTAAACAGGACTTTTTGAATCTAGCGCCCCCTGGTGGCGCTATCTATATGTCGACTGGTGCGTTAGAATCTGCTATCTTTATCGATTGTCCAGTGAGAATTTCATTTCATCGATTGGAAGTGAAGTTATTGCGTTTTAAGCGTCAGTATGTTTGTGTTATCGGTGCGAAAATGAGCTTCGAACAAAGAGCCAATATTAAATTTTGTTTTAAAATTAGTAAAACTTTTACCGAAACGTTTTTATTGATGGTAAAAGTTTATGGCGATGATTGCCTATCCCGTAACAGAGTGCACGAGTGGTCTCAACGCTTTCAACGAGGTCGTGAGGACATAAATGACGATCAACATGTGGGCCAATCAGAATTCGTGATCACCGAAAATTCCATCGAAACTGTGCGGGAATTCATCAAAAATCAGCCGAAATCATTGCTGGAAATGTAATTGAACATCTCCAAAACATCGATTTATCGCATTTTGACCGAACATTTGGTCTTACGAAAGGTGTGTACACGGTTTGTTCCGCACAAATTGACTGACAAATCGACATGCTTTTGGATCGTGCAAAAAGCTGTATTGAAGCAGAATCTCCTTCTGCTATTTGGAATAAAATAAATTTGGAATAAATAAATAAAAAAAAACCATTTGATCTGTTTTTTATACCCTGTACCCGTAGGGTAAAAAGGGTATATTAGGTTTGTGCAAAGTATGTAACATGCAGAAGGAAGCATCTCCGACCCCATAAAGTATATATATTATGAATCAGCATGACGAGAGAAATCGATCTAGACATGTCCGCCCGTCTGTCCGTCCGTCCGTCCGTCCGTCTGGATGAACGCAAGGATCTCAGAAACTATAAAAGCTGGAATAACCAAAGTTGGTATCCATTCTCCTAGGTCCGAGAAAGGACGAGTTTATTTTATTTTTTGGAATTTCCTCTTTTTGCTGCTGCTATGGGCTCATATAACTCAGTGACGGAAGTTTACCTGGGTACAGGGTATTACACTGTCGGGCTTGCTCGACTGTAGCGTTCTCTCTTGTTTTTTTTAAAGTCCTGTTTACTTTGGAACACACCTTGTATGAACGCCTGGATTTCGAATCAATCTTAGTCTGTAGACTTTCTTTATTCCCAGGCAACAATAGTTAATTTTACTTTTTTATTATTGATTATGATTTGATTTTGTGATCATGCTCATGAGCAGAATAGGAACACTCAGCACTGAGAAATGTGAGCAAGTGTGCAAGCGTGGGCAAAAATCCGCTGGCTCAAGCTGAAAGGGAATGAAACCCACGCATATTCTGCACAAACTGCTGCTCATATTCTATTCATGAGCATGAGCAGCTCATTTCCCAATTAGCTCACCCTTTTTTGCTCACGAGTTGCTCATGGATATGAGCAGTTTTGGCGAACCCTGCATTAAACCTAAGCTAATATTCAATTCTTAGAAACTTGCAAGGACTTCAAATTTTGGGATATAGTTAAAGCTACATACGGACATATTCCACTCAAAGTTCGTCGTCGTGTTTTCCATGAAAATTCCGGTAAAGTGAAAATCGAAATCGGTTGATAAATCGATAAAACACAATGGGGGAAGTTTATTTTATGGGTATAGCGTATTTCCCTATTGGGCTTGGTCGGCCGTTAAGTTCTATCTTGTTTTAGGTGCATGCCGAACAGACATTCCTGCAGCGGAATTAGTTAATTACTCGGCTTAGCAGCCATTATTTATTGCCGAATTGATAAGTGCGAAAAGCATTACAATTGGACAATCTACGTTACTTCAACTGTCCATTACCCCAGATGTTATCAGCATACGCTATGCACTAACAAGATTGTGTGCATAATAAAAGCAACAACTGGAATGATCATTAATGAACAAGTTTTACGATAGACTATAAATCGAAATCAGGAAAATAGTTTTTTGGAAATGACACCTTGCATGAATAATACTTCCAAAATGCGTTTGTGTTATAGGTTGGATGAAGACAAGAGTTTGGCGAATTGATTTGAAAGCTAGCGAAATATTTCTCTATTTATTAATTGAGGGCTTTGATAGCTTTACTACAACTATTATTCATTGTGTTCACAAATTTGTAGTTAGAGCGTAAAATATTTATAAAACACGTCCCTGGCTAGGCAACCAAAACCTCTACTCAAAAAGTCAATAAGTGCGGGAATACTTTTATAGTTTTCTTTTTATCTCTTAAATCTTTATTTAATATCTGTCATTGATTGGACAGTTATTAAATTTTATGAAACTAAGCTGCAGTTATTTAAGATATTTATAATCTGATTACGAGCGCCCAACATTGTTAGGAGCCTTTTATTGGATTGCGAACAGTTTTTATATAAAAAAAAAAAATAAATAAATTTAAAATTAAAATAGTCCCTTTCAAATTCTCTACAGTGATTTGCACGGGTGAACTTCAGGAGTCGCTAAAAGTCGTTTGCTAAACCCCAATTTCCTCCCGCGCGATATTACCGACGAATACGACAAACGCTTGAAACGGTTTTAAGATAGAATCCTGCACTAACGATTTGGCCCGGTAGTGCGGAATATAATGTGGACAAGACCTTTCTTAAAGTTTTTCAACTGCTAAGGTATTTATAGGTTTAGTTTCCTTTGCGTGACAAGCCGAGTCGATATAGCCATTACCGTCTGTCCGTCTGTATGAGCGCAAGGATCTCAGAAGGTAAAAGAGCTAGAATGACCAAACTTGGTATCCAGGTTCCCCTGAGCCCTAGGCAGGTCAAGTTTGTTTTTTTATTCTGATACACCCCCCCCACTCCCACGCAATTCGTGTTTTCTTATAACTTCCGTAATTTTGAAATCAATTTTGGTAGGTACATCCAGTTAGTACTAATGTGTCCGTGTGCCGAATTTCATCATGATAGGTCAATTCTGAAGAAAGTTATAGCCATAAATAAAATCGCTGGCCATGCGCTGCCTGGAGCTCTGCCCGCAGCGCTGCCCGCAGCTGTAGTTGTTGTTGCTGCTTTGGTTCAACTCTGTGCTGCATACATACACGCATATAAACACGCATAGACACGACGATGTAAATGTATGCTGTTAAAATTGTACATAAACATGTCTTGTAAATAATTAATTCAATTTTTTTTTAATAATTTAATTTTTTTTTTTAATTTTCCTTTTTGTGGAGAGTACAGGCTATTTTACTGTCGGGCTTGCTCGACTGTAGCGTTCTCTCTTGTTTATTAAGTGGACACTTGGATAACTCAAATTTTTTAAAATAATTTTCAACTTTAATAGCGTAAGAAAGATGAGCAAATTAAAAATCTTGTAAGACCGAGTTTGTGTTAGCGGGGACTTCTAGTAATCATAAGATTGTATTGTGCCTCAAAATAATTTGTAGTTTTATCTAAATCGGTCAATTATATCATATAGTATTGCTTTCATATGAATTATTGCTACCATAAAGCTTATTGTACTTGATTGGCTGGGGCGAGGAAAAGGGTCGAGCTGGCACAACTTTGACGTTCTGTGCGTTTCGATTTATCGAGTTAAGGCAACGTTTTCGTAAAGTATATAGTTTAAAGCCGCAAACTATCATATCAAAGTATCAATTTATTATTTAGCATAGTAAGCCGTGACTTTTGCCAAAACATGCAAGGGAATTGCTGGACAGGCCCCCGCGTTAGAACGTGTGCGTTCTGGTAATTATTACTCAGTTAAGCGTGCTTCCTGCTCATGGCATTGGGTGGGGTTTTTTATAAGACAGCCAAATGAACAGGTCGAAAGTAAAACAATTGATACACAAATAAACTAAAGAAAACATCAATAAACAGAAAACTATTCAGTAATCATGCAATTTCTATCGATGATTTTTCAACATTTCATGACTGTAATTTCGTTTATAAATGACTTAGCACGCTAAAAACTGGCATGAGGACACATAGTACTAAATTCCGAAAATTACGGGAATTATTATAGAAAATTCACTATTAGCGGGGGGTGTCATATAAAAGAAAAACTTGAGCTGCTTAGAGCTTAGCGAAATATTGAAACTCTTATAGTTTCCAAGATCTTTGCGTTCATACAGACGGACGGATATGCGACTCGTCATGCTGTACCATGCTTTGGGGGTTTGCCACGCCTCCTTACGTACATTCGCACTAAAATTATGTAATGACAAGTAAAAAAGCTAAAGTGGGTGGGCCGACTTTGAAATACTCTGTACATATGCTTACAATAATTATAGAAATTAACAAGAGAGAACGCTACAGTCGAGCAAGACCGACAGTGTAATACCCTGTACTCAGGTAAACTTCCGTCACTGAGTTATATACGCCCATAGCAGCAGCAAAAAAAGAGGAAGAAGAAGAGCGAACTTGTTGCTGCAGTTTGTGGGGGTTGTACTGGTGAGAATTTGTTTCGCTAATAACTTTTCTTAGAATTGACCAAATTGAATAAAATTAAATTAAATTAAACAACAGTAGATAATTATATATATAGATCCGATTTTTTCTTACGGTATGTAAGACTTACTTCACAACTTAGAAACTGATAATCATTTCAAGTTTCCGAAGACGTAAAGGGGAGAAAATAGCGCTAAGAAAAACGCAGCAGTTAGGACATAAGTAGATATATTAGGGGTAGACAAGGTAGTTTTGGCCCAGTCGAGTAAACTCTTAGTGGCGTATATAGACATGGAGTATTCCTGCAGAGTCCGTACAGTTAGAAGTATGAGAATATTTGTAAAATTAACGCCGTCTATTGTCTAATAGGCGAAGTTACAAAATACTACAATATAGAGAGCATACAAGAGAAGAATCGAAATCACCGTTCCCAGCATTCACTTCACGCATAGGCGGAGGTCGTTACAACAATAGATGTACATTATATATAACATTATATATATCGATATACATACACATAACAAGACGTACATAGCCTTACAAGTAAACTCCCATAATTCAAAAATTTCATAAAGTATGCAGTTTTCTTTGTATTTTTCCTGAGATTATACAAACTAAGTTGGAAATAGATTGGCTGAAAGATTCAGATTTTTCATATATATATGGATTATTTTGAATACCTGTCATAGGATCGATCCTATCTATACACATCTATACAATACGATGCATATCTATACAATTTAGAAGAGTGGCTATAGGGTATATAAAAGTTGGGCTCTTTTTAAAAATATCTGCACATTTCTTTGTTATATGTTAGGCCCTAGGCCCATGAATAAATCGTGAACTTTTCCGCTAAACCTTTAGAGTAAGCGTTTATTTCAAGAAGTAATGTTTTTATGAAAATATTATCGATGGGTCTCGTCTATTTCGCAATAAAACTGCCCGAGTTGGGAAAATAATTAAAAATATTAGTCATTTCGCTGACATAAAGAAATAAGTAGAGCGCTTAGGATTGCATTTCATATTACTTTTGTTATTATTGTTATCGTGTTTTCATTTTTACGCGGCCTACATAACCACTTTTTGATGCGACTCTGTTATATAGGAATGTGTAATTCTTGTGATTACATTTACGATCAGAGAAATTACGTTGTTGTTAGATCTCTATTGCTAAGTATTACAAGTATTGTGCGAATGGCCGAAGCCAGAGAGCATTATTTGTTATCTAGTGAGCACCAAACAGCAACAAGTAGTGTGAGTGAGAATTGTGCGAGTACAGAGGTACTACTACATACTAATATTATTAGTAATAACATCAAGCACATAAGGCGTGAATGGCGTGTTTCGTTTTGTGGTGCTGCTTATCGGGCCTCTGCTTTCACAAAGCTCCCAATGACGCACTGGATCGATACTAAAGAAAGACACGAGAGTCTGCTAGAGTCAAGACCAAGGAATACCCTTTGCGGTACAGAAGCCCAACTGTATGATACGAGCTATGACACCTACAATGCTCGAAAACCCACTTTGTTTATATTTGTGGCATCAATTTAGCAAGCCGGCAAAATCTAGATGTTCTCAGCAATAGAAAAAAGAGCATTGTTTTGTTGTTCCGAGTAGGAATCGATAAATTATACATTCACGTTCATTATCGTCTTAGACTTTGCTTTAACGAGACTTTAATTACAAGTACTTGTAGATTGCAGTTGCGAAATGTGTCTTCTTCTTATTCGTGCTTCATCATACTACCCTTTAGAGGTAGAATAGAAAACATCTTGGTTTCATCACAATTTTGTGTAAGATGGTTTTCAAATCAACTTTTAAAGAGAATTTTAAATTGTTTGTCACTATAATACAGAGAATTTATATGCCTGTTTATAAGTGGAGACGAACAGTTGACAATTCTAAGCTCCATCGATTATTTATAGTATAGCCTTATGATAATACACTACACAACTAACTAGACAAGAAAATGTACTTGATTGGGAGGAATTCACAGTCAGTCTTCTGAAGCGCAATTTGCCAATTCTCTTTCAAGTTAGTGTTGAAATGAAATAGGGGGGATTACGATTTCCAATATTATACGAATGAGATGCTCTTAACTATAAACTTTTTTTTAACATCTCGTAGGCTAAACGTAGAAATGTAAACAAAACTTTATTACCAAACATCTGATGAATACTTTAAGAGAAACAATACCGCTTCGTATCGACTGATTTTTTATTTTAATAAAATATTCTCTTCAAAGGTACACAAGAATGGACCAATTGCAGTACAGAGTCAACTATGGTCCAACTTTTCAACAAATCCAGCTCAGTTCCATTTTAAAGTGGATAAGTGCGCCACAATAATGAATGTGTGGTCGACTTCATATTGCGAAATTTTTTTAGGGAGGCTAATGGCTCCTTCTGCCCCCTGCGTACGCCTTTGGTCGCACTTATCAGGAATATATACTTATAGACAGAGCGCCGGACATGGCTATTTCGACTCGTCTTGTCATGCTCATCAAAAATATTTATACTTTGTGGGGTCTGCTAAGCGTCCTTCTGTATGTTACATAAATTCGCACAAAACTAATATACGCCTTTCCCTATGGGTACAGGGTATAATTATGAATTTGTTTCATTTTGGAATTAATACGGAATTAACATATAGTCGCACAACTTCTAATTACAGATGATGGGATAATAGATGATAAGAACCTCAAACCTTAATGTAGAGCTCCAAAGTTTATAAACAGCATGAATATCATAGAGAAAAATTGTGCTTGAGTTTTCGATTTTGGAAATGATTTCGAGAGATATTTCAATTGGTATTGAATCAAATGACATATAATCACGATTTAAAAAAAAAAATTTTTTTAAAAGTATTGATTTGAATATTCTTGGCGTCTCCATATTAGGATCTTGTATACATTATGTGTGAACAATCTTTCAAATAAATCCAAAACCCATTGACCCGCTTACACGAAAAATTTCAAGTTGGGCCGCTTTCAGAGACTTTTAGAGCTGGTTGCATTTTGCATGTTGATGCTGTTCCAGCACCCTCTAGTAAAGGTTCAAAAGTTAAGAATACTAGCATATATAGTAAGTAGTATCTGTTGGTGGAACCGGTTTGTTTTCATTTCACAACTTGGAGAGCTAAGTGGAGCTAGCATAGAAATAAATATATAATTCAACTAATGGGCAGCTACTCGTAAGTAAAAGTGGGAGAGACCCCCAAATACACACACACACACACACACACACATACACACACACGCAATGGAAATCACTTGCTAAGCAACTTTAACTTGTGCCTTAGTTCGTTCGATTTAAGCTTAGTTAACTACCTACACACACAAACACACACACATGGGTTGTGCTGAAGATCAATGCCGGGCGACAGCGTGACGAAGAGTGTGTGCGTATGTGTGTGTGTGTGTGTGTGTGAGGCGGCCGCCTAGCATGAAGGTTCAAGTGCAGTCGTTGTTGCTGTTAGTGTGGCAAGAGCTTTTGTTTGGAAACAAACTGAACAAATTTTGCGCAATATCTTATTTTTTGTTTTCAATTTTCATTTTCAAAGCACAACAAAAATGCAGTTCTATGTACTATATACGAGTATGCAGATATGATATTTCGACAATTGCTTGCTCATTTCGTTATGCACAGGCCACATAAATAAATGGGAAATAAAAATGCAAAATGACGAAAGTGCATTGGCCATCCATTTTGCATGCTTCTGAATATTTTTCACGTGTTTTCCGCAAGTCGTTTTGTTGTACATATGTATGTATGGTTGTATGTTTGTATGTTTATACATATGTACATATATAGTATGTGTGTAGCTACATACATACATATGTACTATATATGTATGCGTCTCTTTTTAAATGTGCCATCAGCGTTTTGCTAGGCATTGCCCAAAAATACAAAAAGTGCTGAAATACACATACTTATCTATATCGTATGTATGTATGTATATGGAATATCTCTACAGGTGTATGTGTGTAAGTTCAACAGTTTGCAGAAAATATAATATATATTAATATATGTATGTATGGTATGCACATATCTATATACATAGTATAACTATGTATGTATGTATCTATGTAAATGTACTTACCTTTTCGATAGTAAGTATGTTATTACATACCTGTGCAGCTTATAGATGAAAAGCACCAAAAATGATATATAGATGAGCGCCACGAAGACCAGCGGCAACAGGAATGTGACAATTAACGGCGTTAGGACGCGATAAAGCCATAGTGAATAGTCCAAATCAATGTAGGATGCTTTTTTTTTTTTTTTTTTTTTTTTTTTTTTTTTTTGGCAAATGGATGTTATGGTTGTTTGTAATTAGTGCAACTTGTTGCTAATAGCCGATGTCTCTGAATGCAATACTTACACAACATCGTCTGTGGGCTTCTGAATAGATTCTGCAGAAACTCCATTTTTTCTGTTTTGAATATTGCTGTTTAAACAAAACGGTCATAGAGCTAAGGAAGATACGATAGCAAGAGCGCAGTTTGACTATTGTTGCTACTGTGGCTGTGTTTGTTGCCGTTGTTGTTGCTATTGTTGTTGCTGCTTATTGACCGACGACACCGCCGTCGCAAAGACTGTTGACGTTGTTGACGCTGCTGCCAATTTTGGCCTAATTTTCACTTAAAGCTTTACTTTCTTTCTTTGTTGTGCTTCTTTTGCTTCTTTCGCTTGCTTGCTGCTTGCGCGACCTGCTGGGGAATTGGGTTCTTTTTGGCGTTTTCGTGGTCGTTGCTCTCGCCAGTGCGCCCTTCCCTACGTCGTCGCAAAAGTTGCGTAGTCGGTATTGTTATTTTTATTATTAGTATAGTAATTGTTGTTGCTGATTTTAATTAGGCGATTGCGACTCATTTGAATGTTTTATTCTAACATTTGGAGCTCATGACCGCGCTTAAATTTTGATTCTGTCGTGTAACTGTAAGGCGACGTTATTTTATTTGAATCTCTTGCAGTGGCGCGTTTTTGATTCGACATTTATGTATATTTAACATGTTCTGTACCCCGCTACACTGTAATCTTTTTCATATCTGGTAGTGTAATGCACTACATTCCGGCTGGGTATATCAACAGGAACGTTATAGTCGTCTATAGTGCGAGAGGCGCTAATAAAAATGTGCACACATTAGCGTGTTCTATAGGCAACGGCGAACGCGACCGCAGCTGTGACTGAGAATTAAAGCCGAATACGAAGCCGGAGCGCGTCTGCGACGACATTGTATCGAAACTTGCGCTGCGCTTTTTATTCCCGCTGCTCTTTGCTTTATGTTAATAATACTATGACGACGACGGGGCGACGACAACACAGCCACAACAACAACAGCGAGGCGACAGCGACGCAAGCTGCGTAAAGTTTACAGGTGAGCAATATTGCACAGCTGTTCGCCTCTGTATTTAGCAATTGGTAGCACTTACAATTTGGAAACACCGCTCCGGGGCTGCCAAGCTGCGTTTCTGATATGGCAGCACCATCAAGCACCATACGGCTTGTTGCTGCTTTGCACGTGTTGGAACAATAGTTTGCATTAAAGGAAGTAATAATTTTTTAATTTGAAAAGAACAATCACTCTCGCAATGGGCAAGTTTCGCTCGAAATTAAAGCGCCATGGCAAAGGAAAGACCTGGAGCAAAGGTCAATCGGCCACATCAAATCCGGACCAAATGAAGCATCGCCTAAAAGCCAAGTCGCGTTTCTTTCAGACCAATTTAAATCTTGGTGAGCAAAAGCGTGTGACAATTTGTCATGGCCAGTTTATTACAATTGTTTTCAATTTACAGCCCCCGAGGCGCCAGCTACACCAAATGCTCTGACTCTGGAGGCTGTGATGAAGCATGAACAGCGTCAGGCCTACAATGCGGAGACTACGACGGTGAACGATGTTGCCGGCAGCCTCAGATCGTTCACATTGAACGATGCGGGCGGTGACGACAATGACGATGGTATGTCCGGCACCCAGCAAGGCACCTTCAAGACTTTCCAGACATTCGCGTCCAACTACAGCAGCTGCAGTAATATGAGTTTCAAGAAATTGCTAAACGGCTTTCGCACCTCCTCGGAATTGCACAAAGAGATGTTGGCTATATTAAGCGCACTAACGGAGATTATACGCGAACGTGGTGGTAGTGAATCCTCCACAGAATATTTCCTGTTGCTTATGGAACAAATTGAGGCTGCCAGTGAGGAGCGCGACATTGTGGCGGGCGTGGCTCTGCTGTCCATGGGTCTGAAATCGGTGCCGGCGGCTGTGCTTCGAAAACGTTTTAGCCAAACGGCGAAGACGCTGCATACGCTCCTACAGCGGTTTGTAGAGTCCAGCAATCAGTCAGTCATCAGATATGTAAGTACATGCATAATGAATTAAGCTTGTTGTTTTAAAAACGATTATTGGTATAAACGTAACATTCTCAGAGACTACCAAAATTATAATCACAAAATTCCTTTGCAGTAAGGTCGAGTTTACTTTGTCATAAAAATGTAAATATATTGGGGCTTGAACTGGTCGTTGTTAGTCAGAAGAAAGAAAGCGCGGTAGAGCATTTCGTACATTTTTAATTAGGACATACATATGTATGTATGTCGTATCGATATCGAGATCAGGAATCTCTAAGAGAACAAAGACAGTCACATCTTCAGAATTTTATGACCAGAATAAGAGAACACTAAAGCTCTTAGCCGTTCGTAAAAACAGTACTCAGACAATAACAAGAACTCAAACGGACTTTTGCCGCAGCCGCGGTGTTGACGAAAATATATAGATCTAAACATCCTCATCCTCAACCGTTCTCTTTTGCAGTTGATTGGATGTATGTCTGTGCTGCTGCGCGCCCAGGATCACAATACTTGGTCATATAGCTCGACATTTCAATATTTCGATGCCCTACTCTCATTTACCATTCACTCCAAGCCCAAAATTAGAAAGGCCGCCCAACACGCTGTTATTTCCATCATCCATGGCAGTTGCTTTATGCTGCCAACCGTCAACGATGTGGAAGATCAGAATGCAACGTCTGCTGTGCCTTCCAAGATCAAATATCATCCAGCAGGCACTCGGCTCACGAAATTCTGTTTGGCCATGTTCAAGCCAGAGGTCCTAGCCAATCAACAGACGACTGTGCTGCATACGCTGGCGTTGCTGAAGGACACACTAGCAGGCCTGAGAACCGAAGACATTCGCTCTGTGTGCGAGCATTTGCTATCCATCATGACGGCGGCAAATGTCCTGGTGCGCTCAAATTGTTTCCAGGCATTGCACGCTCTTTTTCTGTCACGGACCGTCAACTTGAGCTCAACACTGTGTGCGAAATTGCTGGCCGCCATACACGAATATCGTCCCGATCGCAGTGATGTCCGCCAAACACTGGCCTGGATTACTGTGCTCAAGGAGGGACACGTACACTTGGCCCAGCTTGAGCTGGAGCTCTGCGTGAACGCTTTGCCACGCCTCTTTGAGGTTTGTACCTCTGATTTGTGGCTATCGGACCGTAGCGAACTGGTTGTCGGCGTATCGAATTGCATAAAGGAATTGCTGCAGGATTGTGTGGCCACTGCCTGTGCCACGCCAGAGTCGGCGCAGAAATATCGCCAGCCCATTGGACGCATCATTTCACTGCTTCACAAGGTCCTGAATGCGCCCTTTGGCGAAATCACAAAATACGTCATACTCATCTTCTCCATTGTCTTTGAGGCGTGCGGTAAGCAATTTGGGTGAGTAAAGTGCCATATCATTGCTTAGATCATAGAAATATTTTAGGCCTTTATTTTGGAGCATCTGAATAATCGGGAGAACCCATTTTAAACCGTTTTTATCAATCAACTTCAAACGATAGTCTGTGTTATATGGCCAACAAAAAATGAAGCATTTCTATTAAATATTTCGTTTTAAAAGCCTTTAATTTATTAAGCATAGAAGATTTTATATTTTATACAAGGACTGCTCGAGAAACATCATAGCCGTTAAAATCGAATGCTAAAGTCGAGTAAACACGACAGTGGAATATCCTGTACCCAAACACATTTATACTGCACCCAAACAAACTTACGGAGAAAAATTAAAAAATAAAATAAACTCATACATACCAAGTCTGAACAATGTGAACTCAGCCGTTTTCGAAAACCAGGCGATCATCCAGGCGTCTGCCCGTCTGGCATCGTCATGCTGATTAAGAATATACATATATACTTTTTTATCCTTCGGGTACAAGGTGTTAGTACTATTCGAAACTGTTGACATAGATTAAAACTGAAATGAGGAGGATAAATTCTTAAGATCGGTTTGGGAAAATTCGTACAACTAAACTTAACCTATTCCATCATAGATATTGGCAGAATGGCAGTTTCTTTGCGTTTTCTATTGAAAATAGGTTTCTTTTGGGTGGGTAAAGAGATGGAAAAATGTTTAGTAAATGAGTGCCTTTTTATCTACTATAACTGTAACTACATACTGTAGTCATGTAGTTCTAGTTGAGGACGAGTTAATGGGGAAAGAAAAGTATAAAAGTTATTTTTTGGAGAGCGTGATATTTTAGTGGGGTTTTGTATAGTTCGTTGCAAAGTAGTTTCTTCTGTTTAGGAATTAAATAGTCGAATGCTCGTTGAGATTGGTCTGTGGTTATTCAGAAGCGGGTCTTTAAAAAAGCGATCGTTCAATAAAGGTTTGTCAAGATTGTCAGAATTGAATTGAGTTTTGTACATTAATGATTATCCATTTATACTTATTGTTTTCGTATTCAAGAATATGTATTCCTTTTATAATGAAAGTCTATTACCCGATAGACCAATTTCTGTTTAACAGAACTAGTATAACTAGTTTAATTATGATCTTAATCTATAATTTGTCCTTTACAGATCCGAGCTGTCTCCATCATTGGTCAGTATTTCCAAGCGGTACGACAGCCAGAGCGCTTTGCGACTACAAATCGAACACACACTGATTAGTGCGATCAAGGCCTTGGGTCCCGAAATTGTGCTGCAAGCCATTCCACTGACCGAAGGCAATGGCATTGTGATGGAGCGTTCCTGGCTGCTACCTCTGCTACGTGAGGGAGCGAATGGAGCGAGCTTTCTATTTTTCAAGCAAAGCATCCTTCCGCTGGCTGTGGATTGCCAGACAAAATGGCGCGAATATGCCAATTCGAAAACCACATCTTCGGCGCATATTTACGAGCTGTTGTGCTGCCAGCTTTGGGGTCTCTTTCCGGGCTTCTGTCGTCAGCCTAAAGATCCCGAAAACTTGCGCCTATTAGCGCCGACAATTGGCGTGGCGCTTGAGAAGAATCCCGAATTTCGTGCACCCATATGTGATGGGCTATTGGAGCTATTGGACGATAGCCAAAGTGCTGAATGTCATGAGGCCATTGGCAAGTATGCGCGCAACTTTCTGCCGCGTCTCTTCAATCTGTACACACAGAAACCGAACGGAACCCACGAATCGGACTTGCGCAAGCGTATCCTAGATGTTATACGACTTTATGTAGCGCGCGCACCCGCCGATGTCCAGGCGGAGCTCTTCGAGACGGCCCAATCACAATTGGCGGCCAGCAGTGTTGCGAGCTTCGAATACGATGCACTCTTTGACATCAATGCAGCAATCGTGCGTGTCCAGAAGTGCCGGGGCATTGAGGCCTACTACGAGGCGTACATAGCTCCCGTGTTGCGCAACGAAAAATCCAAGCTGGTGGCCAAGGATGAGCAGAAACTGAAGAAACAGCAACGCAAGACCTATGAGTGAGTTGTTAAGAAAGAGAATCTAAAATATTTAACATTATTATGCATCTAAGTCGATCTAATATGGGTCCCAGGCCAGAGGGACATGAAGGGAAACGGTAAAGCCGACAAGCTGGCAAGACACGGAACTACTGTCGCTCTTCTTTCTGATAAGGAAAGTATCGGCATACCGATGGCCAGCTGCAATCTTGAAGCTCTGTAAGCTTAGCAGACACTGTTCAGAGCTATTATCTGATACTGGCTGGAAGGCGCTCACGCCGCCAGATTGGGGCTTCAATATAGTGACTTTTGTTGTAGCTGTAGGGGCGAGGAAGAAGACCTCTTCTGCGAGTGTCTGGCCTTACTAAGAACCAGCCAGCGAGTCTTGAGAGCCGATTTTCTTCAAAATCTATCTGAATTATACAGAAAGAAGCTCAGGGATATTTATAAATTCATTCAAGCTTCTGGACGGTATTGTGGAAGAGTCCAAGCTGCAACACAACTCCTAAGTGGGTCAGGGTTATACCTGCCTACCATTTTAACCTAATCTATGCACATTAGTTAGATTTATAGAGGTTACAAGGCCCAGCTTGCGATGCTGACCTCAATCGAATCATTCAATGTGCTAGCAATCCTGTTTATTTAAAGCACAAGACTACCATTTTGTCTAGTCATATGATATCTGATATATAATAATATGTGATGTTTAGATTGTCGTTTACGGACTGACTTTCAAGAGCATCGTCAACTGGTCGCACAGTTAATTAAATACTTATTATATCCTGTACCCGGTAAAAGGGTATACATACTATGAATTCTGAATGCATATAACTGGCTCTTGTTATAGGTATGCTATACATATGTATATATTCCGCATGAAGAGACAAATCATGTGCGGTATTCCACTGTTGGTGCTCGCTCTCGTTTTTTATAAAGTTTATTTTATTTTGTATGCGTCTGCTATTGATGATTGTTAACGAATATTACTTTTTCAGACTGCTGCGCGAATTGATGACCTCCGAGCAGCCGTCGTGCCAGAAGTTTACGCGCAAGAACTCGATTGGGTTACAGAAACTCCTCCTGGAGGCCTTTACCACCAGCTGCGGCGTTTGTCAGGCCTCGCGTTTGTAGTAAGTGTTGACCTCCGCGGCGGTGATGTACGCTTTAGTTAACTTTTACGTAACGCTTGCAGTTGTCTTAAGTCGCTGATGGAGTGCCGCAGCAATTTGGCGTATAATGATCAATTGGTGATGAAGGCCATACCGGAAGCGGTGCTTAACTATAAGGAGTTCTCCACTCGCAAAGAATCTGTGGCTGAGCAGCTCATCAAGTTGATTGCCAATCTCTATCAGGAGGCGAAGAAAATCAATGATTTCGTTGATATTCTGACTGCGGGCTTCACTGGCGATGAATCGCTAATAACTAACACAATTCTCGCTTTTCGAGCGGTCCTCCAGCAACAGGGCCAACATCTGACTGTGAACACTCTGGAGTTTGTGTTGCAACAGATTTCTGTGTTTGTGGTGCAAAAGTCTCGCGGACAGGCCGAGGCTGCTATCGCTTTCCTCATCACATTCATTAAGGTGATGCCCATACCGCTGGTGGCCAATCACCTGGAGACCATTGTGAGTTGATAATCGGAACATAATGTTGATGGACTGTCTTTATCTCTGTATCGTTATACTTTACAGATGCGTTCTTTGTCAGCGATGACCAAGGATACTAAACGCTATTGTCGCATCCAAATCGGTTACTTCCTGAAGAAGTTGTGCAAACGCTTTAGCGCCGACGAATTGGCGCGCTTTGTGCCCGGAGATGATGATGTAACACACAGACGACTCAAGAAAATACGCAAGCAAATGCGACGCGATACGCGCAAAAAGCAGAGCGAAGAGGCAGCTAGTGGGGACTCGTCGGATGAAGAGCTTGTCGGAGGACTTGAGCAGAAAAGCTATACGTACGTAAACCAATTCTTATATAAATATACAGTGAAATGAATCTTAATGGACACCTCTTTTATCCGGGTATCCCTTTTAAGCGGACACTTATTCTAGAACATTCGTATTTAAGTATCGCCTAAAGCGGACATTGTAGCCGTGGTGAATGATTCTATGATAGTGTTTGCCAAGCAATCTCTGCTTCATCTGTAATGCACAACTTTAAGTATCACAGTTTTGGCACACTTGGCAGATATGTCTGTCCTGTGTAACATTTCGGTGAACAGATTATTGAAGGCACCCCAAATGGCGCTCTATCGACTGACTACCTTTGGTGGATTTTCCCAGCGACTGGTGCTCCTTCTTTCCCCTCCTTCAATGTATTTGGTTAATAGCCGTTAACTTCTCTTATAGAGCTTGGCATTAAGTGCGCTTCAGATTTCCCGACTTAGGGTCAGGCTTGCGACTTGGGCCATGGCTTGATGCTCTCTTTGGGGGCTTCAGAAATACATTTAGACAATGTTGATAGCATGTAATATCTAATATCGTATCCGACATCCGTACGGCATTATGAGCCTCTGGAAACATCCCCCCTTGCAATCGTTTGCAATATTGGTAAAAAATATTCCGGTTTGACCTTCCTCTCGGCATTCTTTTTGTTGAAGTTGTTGAAAAGATAGATAGGTTATAGCTTTTCAACCGTTGTTTTGCTTTGTTTAGGTCAAGAATAATGTCGGGGTCACCAATATATTTGGGTACCTAATCCCCTAATCCCCTCGCTACTATTAAGGTACACGTTATTGCATTTTTTGTGGTTGAAGTAAGACAAGCATTACCAGACACTTGGAATTGTATAGTCAAGCCCGTTAACTGGGGATGGGATTTGTTACTTGGCTAAATTTCCAAAAAAAAAAAAAAAAAAAAAAACCTTCACCTTGAATTGATAGTTTTTCAAAATTGATCTTTATTGTAAAAATTTGATTCTTTTATAGAAGTGGTTATATAATTTGCTTTATAACATGTTTCAATAATTGTCTGTCAATCGCCTTGAAGCATAATTAATGCTAAGTCCAGCCCTTTGACCCTGCACGTCTATGCAAGCAGACAATTTGGAGGGGACGCGGATGGCGTCATGCTATGATCAGAGGTGGGCTTAGACTGATAGTAGCCGTAGTAATGACCAATTGGCTATCCCTTATCCTTGTGGATAACATTTTAATAATCTTCCATATTAGGTTTTCAAAAACTGAAAATAAAGTTCAACTACTTACTTAAAAAGTAGCGCCTATTGCTGGATGTGGCCAATCCTTTGTATATACGAGTATATATTGTTTTCGAAACAAATTAAAAGACACAAATTAGTTTAAATATAAAATGTATATTTACATTAATTGTTAACGGTTTTTTTTTAGAATTGATGACATCTTGGCCGATTCTGATTCCGATTTGCCTGACGATTTGGAGGCTGATGACGATGAGCCGAATGCGAGCAAGAAACGTGGCAAGCCATCTAAAAAGACGCGCAGCACATACATTCGAGAGGATGTTGACGAAATTGTCGATCTGGCCGATCTCAAGTCCATTGGCAACGTGCTCAGTGAGTGAACATTGATCGAAAGACTCTTCGTAACCTCCTTGCTAATCAAACTTTTCATGCAGCCAGTGGCTCTGCGGCAACTGTAGCCAGCAGCAGTCTGAAGCAGTCCAAGGCCAAGGATAAAGTGGCCAATGGCGGCTTCAAGACTGCCGAAGATGGACGTCTCATCATCGACGAGAAGGCCCTACGTGGCCGCAACGCTGGCGCAAACAGCGACTCGGACGCCGACAGTGGACACGAAATGGACGACGGCAGTGATGAGCCCGTGGACGCTAGCAAGGCCAAATTGGGCAAACGCGGCATGGAGGAGGACTCCAGTGACGAGGAAGAAGTGAAAGCCGCCAATAGCCTATCGGCCAACAAACGCAAGCGCCAAGCAACTGACGCATTAAGCATGCGCTCTGGCAAAACGAATACGACGCGCTACACGACCGGCGGCAAGGGTATACATCGTACTATCGGCGGAGATGGAGATGCCGTGTCTATGAAATCGGGTTATACATCGAAATCGGCGACATCCAAAGCCATGGGTAGTGAGTACAGCAGCAAGAAAGCTAAGGGTGATATGAAGAAGCGTGGAAAGTTGGATCCCTATGCCTACATACCTCTCAGTCGCAACAACCTGAACAAGCGGTAAGTCCTAAAAAAGTCTGCCCTTATTATAAAAATATTAGTTCGGTCCGACATGCAAATAATGTGCATACAAGCTTGTGTTGTTTTGAAGTAGGCTTTGGAAAGTAATTGCCAGAGATTGTAAGCTACACTTTATAATAGAAAATCCTTAGTGGCTTTAATTGAAGAAACATATTCATAACAGACTTCTTCAATTATACAAATGTTGGGCAAATTATTTGCCAGTCTGATCATTTCACACATTTTGTGTTATTTTTGAAGTAGTCTTTGGAAAGTAATTACCAGAGATTGTTTGTGATAGCAGAAAGCTACATTTTACTTAATGGTTTTTATTGAAGAAACATATCCATGACATGCTTGGTAAATTCTAAAAATTTTACGCAAATTATTGGCCAGTCTGACCATGAGTAAGTCTCAAAAAATTGGGAGTTTTTATAAACTACCTTCATTATAAAGATATTAGGTACTTAGTTGCAAAATAAATGAATTAGTTCAGCTACGGCCCGACATATAAATAATTTGCACACAAACTTGTGTTAATTTTGAAGTAGGCTTTGGAAAGTAATTGCCAGAGATTGTTTGTGATAGCAGAAAGCTATATTTTAGTAGACAATCCTTAATGGGTTTTATTAAAGACACATATTCATGACATGCTTGTTAAATTTTAAAAATTGTACGCAAATTATTTGCCAGTCTGATAGATGTAGGCTTCTATAACTCATTTAAAGCAGGCAAGGCGTGCGAGGAGTTCCCCAAAAAACTTTCATATTTAGTCCGTGCACAACTAGTAAGAATATATTGTATCTAGAGATTGTCGACCTAAAATCGTAGCTCCAATCCATAGGGGTTTCAAATATTCTGCCGCCTTGAAGATATAAAATAATTAGTGGGATTTATTAAAATAGTAATCTAATTATGAATATCATTCCACACGAGTGCTATCTATCTGTGTCTCTAACTCTCTCTCTCTCTCTCTCTCTCTCTCTTACTTATTTGCCCTCTCTTTCTTGCAGCAAGCGTGCAATGAACTCGAGGAAATTCAAGAGTGTGGTGCGCGGCGCTGGCGGACAACCTTCTCAAACAGGGCGCGTTGGCAAGAGCTACAAATAGAATAGTGGAGTGTCGGGCAATGAAGATACGTGTAGATACGAGATGCGACAAAAAATGGATACGATGGGCGGCAGACAGCGCCGTTTTTCGTTTATAACTACAATATAAACATATATATAAATATAAAGCACGTTACTTTATTATGACAATAAAAAACAGAAAAATGCCAACAAATGCCGTCGGAAGATGTAGACTTTGCCTCTCATTGTCATCATCACAATTACAACGTATATTGCTTCTCGATGTGAGTGCGTCGCCACTCGCCGGCAGGATCTAGCCCAGCCATAGTTTCCTCGATAAAATGCAGCTTGTTGTTGGCGTCGAGCAGCAACACTGTGTGGGTACGACTTCCATAAGCATGCTCGGCAATGTGCACATTCAGGGCACTCAGTCCTTCACCCCAATTGGGGGCGCGTTTCAACAGCTCGGCGTCCGGCCAGAATTTATTGCTGTTCTTGAGCAATTGCAGCAGCTGATCGGACAAAGTCTTTACATCGGCATGACCGTGATCCTCCACTATCTGCGCAAAATGCTTCTGTCCATGACGCACTTTCTCAAATGGTGCTTCGGGCAAACTGTTGCCAAAGCCATAACACCGTTCCTGCTCATAATCGGCCAACGTGGGCGGTACATTGCTCAGCAGCTTGATTGCAGCTGGCTGGGAGGCATTCCTGAATAATGAAAAAGATAAATCGTAGCGATAGTAAATGTTATATACGAGTATACTATATATTTGTAGAGTTCATGAAGGGAAAAGTTTGATTTGGTTTGACTTTGAACATCAATAATATAAGTAGTATCTGTGCAGGGAGTATTATTTATATTAATGGTTAAAACTTATTTTACAGTTGGCCTATTACTATAAATCTTCACTTGAGAATAAAGAAGCATTACTAGTTTGTAATTGTGGAAAACTATAAGAAATAAGCAGTTATCTTCGTCTGGCTGAGGCTACATATCCCTCACTAGTCAACAATATTCTACAAAAACTATGTATTTGTCCCCTACTATGTGTGAACTTTCTCTTTTTTTCGTTAGAATGCAATTTTTAGTTAACATTCGCGACCAACAACCAAAGCAACATTGTTGATAACAATTTGGTTTACTTAATAAATAAATAGTTCGCTCTCGGCATATCTGCTGTGTCCATCGTTTAGATGAGACAAAACTAATAGATACCTATAAGATGTGATCTACCTTTCCTATTTACAAGCTTGCTTTCGACTTGAATATTTCTCTATTTATATTGAATAAAGAACAGGTTATCATTGGAATAGAAATGAGCTTCTTCAATAAGATTTGGTTAGTTTTCTCGCTTTTCGTATTAACATAACTAATGCTCTTTGGCAAAACTTACCCAATCTCAATGGATACAAAATTAAATGCACTATATTTAGTACAATCGGCAATCAGTCCCTTATTATAGTTGACAATGTTGTGTGATTCGTCACTGGAGGTCACATAGTCAGCCACAATCATGCCGCGTCCTAGTAATAAATGTTCATTATTGGTTTTTGTGCTCATAGATGTGTGCTTGTTGTTGATCTGGCTGTTGTTCGAGCTCATGTGAAGGCTGTTATTATGCGTTTGCAAGATGTTATTGTGCGCTTTAAAATTAAACAATAAATCGGAAGGGAAACGTGCATCAGCAAAAGGTAAACAAAGGAAATTAGTAAGCGTCATATGTAGGGCAGAGTACATGTTAATTCAAAACGATGTATGTATGTATGTCAATATGTGATGGGTTGTACGTTAATTCGTTGCTATTTACCAACTGCATCGCGTGGTTTGGGCTCGCCGGTCAAATTGAGCAGAGCGCCTACCTTGAAGATGCCATTTTTCCCGCCTATGGCCAACCATGTCCCGCCTTCACGTCCAGGCTCCAGGTCAATGCCTGCACATTGAAAAAATGTATGGATGGATATATATAAATATATATAGAATATTGTACGGGCTATCTTCTGCACTCACCGCCATATACATGGTCCGCATTCGCCCATTTGGCCACAGAGCGGGTCTCGCGGGCAAAAAACTCATCTCGATTCGAAGCTAATATGAGCTTATAGCCATCAGAGCTGGGATTCGAATTTGCATAAAAGAATATGACACACATATTGGATTGAACTTTAAACGTCCACGTCTTTCTCGTCCAATGACTTCAGGCGTCAGCGGTCAAATGTGCCAAACTCTTAATCTGTAGTATGGAGGTAGTGTGTACCATAAGTAGCGACTCAGTCTCTTTGTTGTTGCTGTTGTTGTTTGCCTGCGCGTTGTATTGTTATTGTCAATTTTTATCGCAAAATTATCGCTGGCACAGGCACAGTCTTATCCGTTGTTTGTGCCCCCCAAACACGACGCACACACACGCGCCAGCAATTAAGCAAACGCACACATGCATACGAATAATGTAAAAGAAAGCGTGATAATGGGCACAATATCAATGCTGGCGTATGTAAAACTTAATCAATTTTGTCAATACATTTAAATTGTTATTGTATAATCCAAATGTGAGCGGCGTTTTCAAACAATACTTTTTTTGTTTACGGCATTCAGTTACAATGGGTAACGGAAACAGCTGACAGGAACAGCTGTTGTTGTTGTGTGCAATTGGAGTGTTACCAGCGCAGGGAAAAAATGAGCGCAAGTTTTTGAAATCATTAACCTTTTCATAATACCTAACCGAAATATAAAAAGTTGGTATGTGTGTGCATTTTCGTAGGCAGCACAGCAATACCATAAAAATAGTTTTTTTTATTTAAACAAAGCAAATTTTTCAGTATGTCTGCGGTAATTCAGATTCTCTTTCCACACATTTGAAATTTAGCGCTGCCAACCTAGCTATGACAGTGTTACCACTTACCCATTAAATACCACCGCAACTAGTTGAATGCAAGAGAAGAAGAAGCAACCGCGGCAGCAAAAATTGTTATTCTCGATGTAAAACGCGTTAAAAATTTCATTTAAAACGCGATTGAAAGTGCAAGCGATAGTTAAACGGCTTAGAAATGGTTCGTGTATGAAGTGCACGTGCAGCGAATGCATTAGATATCAAAATCAAATATTTTCAATGGCACAATAAAAACACACTCACATATTTACGTACATACATACATATATACATGCAACCCACACACATGTGAACGCGTGTAAAGCATAGAAACAGCAACAGAGCTAGCAACGAAAACGTATGCAAAGTGAAACAATAAAAAAGTGATGTATGTACATTTGTGTTTGTTTTGGTGTGTGTATACATATGTATGCATAGGCAAACATTAATTGATAAAACATTGAACTAAAACAAAACAAGCAACTGTAGCCGATTCTGCGCTAGGAGTTCAACACAGAATCAAACGAACGGGACCACCAGCCGCAGTAACAAAAACAACATTAACAGAAACAGAAACAACATTGTTACAAACGAACGACACTCGCACTCGTGGCTGTTCGTCGTCATTGCCCCCAAACGTCAAACGCTGGGCACAACAAACGCAAAATACAGAAAAGTTTTTGTTGCTAAAAATAGCAACAAATAGACAAAACGCGTTGACGCAGGCTAAGAGGCGGACAGCAGGCTACAGGCGAGCAGGCTGACTATACCAATACGCTCTCTCGTTGCGATTACTACCATTACTCTGTGTAGGCAGGCACAACAGCAACAAAACAACGCGCGCCAAATCCCACACTAATAAAAATTGCTTAAATAAAACCAATACTTCAAAACAATCTAACAACAACAACAATAAAAAAAACAAAGAAAACAAAAACTGAATAATTTCTGCTTTTCAAAATTTTGTTGTGGACGCGCGCATTCGTTTCAATTTGTTAGTTTTTGCTCATTGTGTGGAACAAATTATAAACAATCGAGAGCGTGCAGCAAAAGTGCACAACAATAAGTAACGATATCAGAGGAGCAGTGCAAGAGCAACAGAAACAGCAACAATAATAATACCAATACCAACATAATCATTATCAGTATCAGCAACGGCGCGGGCAAAGCAATTTAAAAACTATGCTCTTAAAATATACAAAAACCAGTGGAGCTAGCGGCGCAGGTTCCAGTTCATCATCCATACAAGCGACCGCGACGTATGTCGCACGAGGAACAGGTTTGTTGATTTTATTTCTTTACGTCTTCTAACCCATAATACATTCAAATACATACTTATATATGTACATATAAATATCTTGGCGTTTTCTAAATACCTTTACACACACCTACTTACATGTGTACAAATCTGTACACATATGTAAGTAAGTATATATAAATATATTTGATTATTTATATACATATATATACTGTACATATGTATTAGCCTAAAGTACGTTTGCCCGAATATTTGTTTTCACGCTTTCGTATTTCTATTTGGACACTTTGATAAGGTTCACGGCCACAGCTGGTCAGCCAACAACAAACATTCATATACATATGTATACATATGTAGATGTACATACATATGTACACTCTGTGGTTTACAGGTGATTACATACAGTCGCTACATAAAGCTGCTATATTTATAAAGGAACTGAATCCCTAGAAAAGACGCCACAGGTGCTCTAATTTCTGGACACAGATTATTTCGTGCACTGCACTCCGCTTTAAAATATTAATCCATTTTTGAGATCCTTTGTGGCTACCTTTCTTTTTAAGGACAACAAGAAAATGTTGTATTTCTTGTAATAAGCTTCTTTTTTTTTTTTGCATTCCTCCTCTATCAAATCTTGCCTTGCAAATAATGTTTATGTCTGGAGACTGGTCTGGCGGACTTATCAGATTGGGAGAATACCAAAGCAGTCAGGTCAGCATAACTCCCGATTTAAGTTTCCGAAAACGATCACGTAGACCTAAAAAGTCGGCACTTTGAATCAAGTTTTCTTCAAAAATGTAAAAGTACATTGTGCTGTCCATGATTTCGTCGATAAAAACCAGTTTCTCGACAACAGAGGATGCCGTACAGGCCCAAACAGTCATTTCACCTTCGCCAGTTAACGGCCTTAGGTTCTTATTTTCGCGCTCGGTATTCGGTTTGCGTAGCACGTATTTAATCCCATTTGAGCCATATACTATGTATATTTTCAATTTGGAATCGTATGCGAAAATAACGACGTTATAGGCTTTAGAACGTGCTCCTTACAAACAATGACTAAATTAAATTACCGGACCGAACTGAACCGACTATTAAAAGGGATTCAAAAGTGATCTTCGATACCTCATTACGATACCAATTATGTAGCTGTGAGCATATTCCCTCTCATTATTATTGTTCCCCTCATTAGTGGATACGTATTGTTCTTGAAATACCTATCTGTTAAGCTGTTGGTAAACAATTAATTGTTAGGAACACTAGATCAAAAAAAAAAAAAAAAAAAAAAAAAAAAAAAAAAAAAAAAAAAAAAAAAAAAACGGAATGCCTGACCAAGTTGAAGAGACCTTCCACACTAACTGCTCTAGTTAGATCTCTAGTTATGCGGCGCTGTTTTCATTTTCCTTTGATCACGAAATCAATATTAAATAGACGTTTCACTTTCCTGGAATAACTTTTCCAGCAATTAAAATGTAGTATTCTACTCAAATTGGTTTTGAAATATGTTTTAATCGCATGAAAAATATACTTATACTTATAGAATTTTCTAATGCTTTAATTTACCAGTATAAGTAAATTTTTAACTTTTTAGTTTAATGGCAAATTTTTTATATAGTATTCACTTGATGTTTAGGCTTACCGTTATGAGTTACCAGTATTGGTAAACTATTAACTTTTTAGTTTAATGGCAAATTTTTTATATATTATTTAATGGCTTTAATAGTCAATGAGAGGTCAATGAGGATTCATTCTCCATTTAAAAGCGTACACAAAAATCGTTGTAAGCCTTCATTAGTGCCTTTACGTGATTATTTGTGTTTATTTATATAAAACCATATTTCAGTTTTGATTCCCTCATTTCTATACATATATGAATAAAAAACTCAATCGTTTGTTTTAGAAACCGTTTGTAGCCTGTTCTGTTCTGCTCTTACAATTTATTATTGATTAAGATTTCAACAGAACTTGAAATTAATGCGTTGTCTTTTAACTCCCAACATATTAATGTAATTTCAACAGAGTCTACACAAAAGTATTTTTAGCACAACCATTAGTGTTTTTTTCCTGATGTTTTTGTGATAAAATTTCATAAAAAGTAGAATACATGTGAAAATAAATTGTCAAAATTGTTATTGAAATATAGCTTCGATTACAAAAAGCCTTACGGGTATGTTTTTAGTATTATATTACTTTTAAAAACTATCTTCACAATTAGGCAAATAATTAACACAAGTTATTGTCAATATAAATACAAGGATATAAGACAATACGATACAAGTCTATTCGATAGCTTCGGCGTCGCTATGATGCTTTCATTTCATGATCAAGTGCAATTTTTCAAAGAGGTAATGGTCACACGGTCATAAAATTAAATTTTTATAAGAAAAAAATTAAAAAATCAGTCACCAGCCTCCCTCCACAAAATTTGGGCCGAACAATTCAATACAATTTTCCGTATTTTCGATGCACCAAGTGCTTCAAATTATCAACATAAGACACAGTATTAACTGCTTGACCAGCTGGCAGCGGGTTTATGGTAAGCAATTTGCTTCGAAAAGTAGAAGCAGATCAATATTGTCTTGGCTGCTGACTCCTCCAAAAGACTTTTTACGGATTTGGTTCATCTGGGTACATCTATTCGGCATTTTGATCAACAGGTACAATTATGTACTTGAAGTTCTATCTTTTTTTACTTTCTAATGATATCTGTCGAATGTTGAATGCTAAGCAATTTTTGGTTGTCAGATCAAAGCAAGAACACACCATTTGCAGTTCGGTTGAAATATTTGCATTAATTTCACAGAAGATTTGGAGTCATTTTTGATGAATTCGCGCGATCTTTGGTTTTCCGACATGTTTGTAGTTCATTCCAGTCATCGCAATCATTTTTGAACCTCGTGGACACTGCTACGAGCTAATCAATTATCACCATAAACTTGTTTCATCAATTGGAACGTTTCGAAAAAAGTTGTACCAAGTTGAAATCTGGTCTTAATATTTCGTTGGACATTTTTGTACCAAAACCGCAAACACAGTGTTACTTTGTGTGGGATAGCTTGGCTTCCATCCATCCGAATGTCATTAAATATAAAAGATATACCTAACTAAAGGAGTCATCCATTAACATGTAGTGCTACCAGAAAGGAATATTAGAAACAAGAAAGGAATGCTAAAGTCGAGCAGGCTCAAATCTTAAATACCCTGTACCACGCCACAAAAAAGAATTAGTAAAAAAATATAATTAATTTAATTAATTAATTTGATGAACAAACTCGTCCTTTCTCGGGCTCAGGAGAATCTGTATACCAAGTTTGGTTACTCTAGCTCTTATACTTTCTGAGATCCTTGCGTTCATACAGACAGACGGACGGATAGACGGACATGGCTATATCGACTCGGCTTGTCATGCTGATCAAGAATATATATATTTTATGGGGTCTGCCACGCCTCCTTCTGTGTGTTCCATGTACACTCGCACAAAACTAGTATACTCTTTTAGGGTATAAAAAGTCCTCTATACTTTAGGATGCACAGCTTCTACTTACATGAAGATATTGGCCCTTTTGAGAAAAAGTTAATTCTATAATTAAATTATAATTTTAAAAATTAGTGCTGTCTTTTTTTTCTTGTATGTATGTATCCAATTAGTATTATACGGCGCAGGCCGACCTCATATACTTGTACATTTGTGCACACCTACGATTATTTGATGATGGTGGGGGGAAGATGAAGGTGTTCTTGTTGTTCCGGTTCGCCACATTTCACACAAAAACAGCTACAAATGAAGGAGCTGTTCCACTTACTCTGCCATCGAAAATTCTGATTGGTAAAACCGTCCAAAGCCAAGTGGTTACTTCTTTTTATATAGATTAAATAAAATAAAGTGGGTCGGAGGAATCCTTCCGCATTGCTGTCGCTGCCATCGTCCTTTTAGCAGTGTTTGTCTGGTGGTTTGTTTGTTTGTTTGTCGAGTCGGTGTGTGCTTAGTATTCGATTTCCGTTATTGTCCTTCCCACGTTTCCTTTGCCTCTTTTGCTAGCCTTGATGTTCATTTAATATAATTTAATAATTCCAACAAGGTCGTGTCAGGAAATGAACTGTCTGGTCAGCCTTGCTGCTTCAATAAGAGAACAGTATGTCGAGAAGATTTTGGGTGGAGCTGTTTAAGCTATTGTTGCTAAAAAGAAGAAGACAAACTCAGACAGTCCCACTCTGCTTGATTGAAAATGAATTTTCGCAGTAGAGGCTAGTCAGACGAAAATGCAGTTTCACATACATGTATGTATGTACATATATGTGTAGTATTAGGTTCCTGCAATTTTTTGTAAGAGGCAGAGGGGATTCATCCTAATCAACGTGCCAAATCTTTCCGGCTACCTTGGTTTCAGAATCTAAAATCAATATTTTCTCTCGCAATTCTCTGTCTTCATTTCAAGTTTTAGAAAAGTTTTAGGAGTTTGTGTTGTTGTTTCGGTTGCTGTGAAATTCTGGATAGATTGGTAAAAATCTGTAGGGGGAGAATCCAAATAATAAAATAAACTCGTATTGCCTAGGTACTCCGGGAGTCTACATACCAAGTTTCATCAATAAAGGATTAGCCGTTTTCCAGACAGATTCACTGATTCAGAGTAATACATTATTTATTATATTATATATATTACATGAGCCTGAAAAGTGAAGGAATTCATAAAATTGTTCTCTTGCCAACTTGTTCTAAAGAAATTCGGAATAGAAGGGCAACGTTAAATCAGACCCAAGTTCCAGAAGGTATAATTTATTAACGGAATCGTATGCTATGTCTAATTAGTAAGAAATAGGGGCAATTTAAATCATTAAGCGCCACAGTCACTCGGTTATAAGAATTAACAATATTTATCAGCGTCAGCATTAGGAACGACTTTGGAATTTCCGGAGCTCAACCGGAAAAGCTAGCCATTTAAAATTCAAGAAAACAATTGGCGTTTTAGAAAACGAAGCAGGACCGATCTTTGAGCGCGGTTTGTGGACAGATTGATGCTGCAGGA